CCCAGGCAGGAAAACGTTTCAATTGACGGGCAAATCTTTCCTCATAACTCGGAAATTCGAAAATTTCCTAAAATGACATATAACATAGGACCCCATTGCTTGCGAAGGGAAAATTCGCTCCAGCGTTTATAATTCCACGTTGTCGAAACTGCGGCCGGAGAACAGATTTTTTTTTTACTAAAGCAAAAAACTTGTTTTTGACAAGTTAAAAGCTCAAAAAAAAAAAAAAAATGACCTAACCTCAAAATATTACGGCATAATGTAAAATTGAAATCACAACAAAATCGACATAATTTGAAATCAAATCGATAGCGATAGCGCAGGCTTTTGTAGCAGATATGCGCGACCATGGCTGCCTTCTGCAAAGAACTCTTACTGTATTCGTATCTTATTGAAACTTGAATGCATGTATTATCATCATGTTTTAAGTAATTCCGGCTACATGTACAATTTCACTTCAAATTAAAGAAGTATGTGTACATAATAGAAACGTTGAAGCAAACGAAAAGCTTAGGCATTAAACCTCAGCTAAATTAGAGAAAGCGAGAAATAAATAAAGACTTGGACATCTAGGATAAGAAAGAACAAGTAAAAACATTATAGTCGGCCATGACCGATCATTAAATACCCAACAACACTTCGTTATGAAGAATTATGTTAAGCGTTCTTAAATGATTTTCATTGCCGTGAGTACTCGGGCGTGGGTAAACCAAATTTCTTCAAACTCTATCAATAATTGCAGATTGAACTAAGAACCGCATCGACAGGCATCGAACGACAGACTGGCGGCCGGACAAGCTTAGCGGGCCGACAAGCGCTATAACAAAAGTTGGGCCTATCTCAAGGCCTTCTAGGGTTAATACACACTGTACCATAAGTGGCGTAGAGTAAATCAAATCTCTTGTACCCATTACCTTTCGCTTGGGAAAAGAAGACAAACCCGGAAAAAAAGAATTTTCTTTACTTGATGATGAGGTCTCTGCAACTGCCTTCCGAGCGAATGTGTTTGATGCGAACGCTTTAACAAAATAAATATACCATCGCCATCCTTCGAGGGTGGGTATAGCAAGTACAAAAATTGTATTAGGTCGTGAACGCAACTTTCCTGCCCACTGCGTTCGTAAAGAAAGAAGAAGAAGAAGAAGAAGAAGAAGATCAAAAAAAGAGAAAAATTAAACTTCGATAGTCTATATTATATTAAGTGGGCGTGATTATTTTTGTGCATTTTTCTACAGAAAACGTGCAATTAACCATAAAATGTATGTAAAAGTTTTTATCGTCATATCTACGGGTAGCGAGCTATCAACAGAACCTTTGTCCCTTTTGACAGCAAAAATAGGTTCTCCGTTCATGTATTACACTGTAGATGTGTGTGCATGTGATCGAGATCATTTTCAAAAGCTATCCTAACATACCTCCAATTTGTAGGTAAAGAGAGAGAGAGAGAGAGAGAGATAGAGAGAGAGAGAGAATGAAATTATCGCTTGAGACTAATAGATGCACTTCTAATTGCATTTAATTTATTTGGGTACGTGTTGTTGTCAGCAAGACTAAGAGTATTGTTTCGACTACAAATAATGTTTGTGTGCCTGTCATTGATGCTAACAATAAGAAGCATATTGTGGAATATAACATAGTTAATTATATAACAACAAAAACAACTATGATATCTAAACGAAAGAAAGAAAAAAGAAAGTTAGCATGCCGTACAAGTCAACTTTTTCACTAAGTGATCTCACCTCCTTACAGAGTCAGACTTCTTACCCAGACGCTTTTAATACATGGATTACCAATTGATCTGCTCTGCCATTTGAAGTCCGGGAGTTAAGACTATCGAAAAATTGTTGCCATATTCAAACGTGATATTGTTAAACGACGACAGAGACTTTCACCCGTAGAGGCGTCTCGGAGGCATATCGTTACGGTACAATCAGTATTGAAGAATCTATATGGAAGTGATCGTTTCTCGATCATCATTAATTTCGGAACGCCCAGATAAAGCTCCAAAGCTTTACGTGATTCCGCAAAAATTGAACAATCACTTTAAAGAGCCATCACTGCGTAGATGAGGCAACGGCAAAAACGCAATTCATAAGAATACAAATTGTGAGGCGTCCAGGATAGAAAAAGATTATATTGACTGCAGGGCATTGTACTATCTATCCCACAATACAGTGGGAAAGACTACTTTAAACACAGCCCACAGCACAAAGTGGAATCATGATCATTCCCTTCTTCGAAAAATTAAGCAGCGAGCGTTTCAAAGAGAGACTTCAATTGGATCTATGATTCGACAGCTTTAGCTTGGGAATATCTGTCTCGTAAATAGCATTTAACCGGCAAACACATTGGAGCTGGACCTTGTCCACGTCTTGGAATGCACCTTCATGTTTATTTATTCCTGAAACTAAACTAGTAATCGGCAATAATAGATTGCTGTCCTAGAAATGGGTGTAAGCTTCGTAGATATATTCTTGTCAATCTTTTAGAAAACGTTAGCTGTAAACTAATTGATCTATGCGAGCTCACTTAGTTTAGCGACCAGTTTGCATTAAGTTGAAAAGTGATTCAATCTTAACATATTGTTAAGACGGTGAGAGTCTTAGATGAGAAAGGCTTCTTGGCTTCTTGGCTTCATTCCACTTTACTAAATATTAGTTTGCTAAATTCAAAGAATTTCGAATCAAGTGATATATGTCCGATAGGCCGAGCCATTAGGTAGGGGGGGCTGTCTAATTGTTCTAATATTCCTTCTGTGCTTGGCATCTTACAAAAGATTTCTTTTAGATAATTAACAAAGTTTTCCACTTTCTCCCTCTTAAGGAAACAACTCGGCTGGTCGATCGTTTAATAGACTTGGTAGCTCTCCATAAGTAATATTCATCAAAATTGCTCGAAACTCTATTCATCTTTAGGAATTATCTTCTCAATCTCTCTTTCTTTCTGACCATTTGTCTTACTGCAAAGCTAACGCAATTATTTGAAGATCTGGACTCATCCAGAGCTTGTGGCAGGAATGATAAAACCATCGTTCTGAATAAGATTTATAACATCATCTACCGTATCATGAATTGTAAAAGTGCTTTGCGAACTCAGACGAAGATTTAAGTTGTTATGGATTCAGTCCCTGAAAATTCCAATCTCAGTTTGACAATTGTCGACTAATGTATTTAACTGAGAAGTTTTGAAGAACTGTCTTGAAATTGATATTCAACGGGAAGTGATCCAAACTATGTGCGGGAATATCGGAGCAGTCGAAGGCGAAATCGAACATATCAGGTATTTTCCTCCGATCAGTTGGCTAACATGTGGATTTTAGGTTCCATCTTTGCAAAAACCTCTATCTAAATGCTTTATGCGGAAAATTCGGATCAATCCAGTTAGCTCAGTGACACGATAACATTTCCAAACAAAACCCTATTTTCATATATATCAAGCAGTAATCAATATCTGACGTACAAATACGAAATGAATACGAAATCTTTTCCAAAAAAAAAAAAAAAAATGATAAATTGCGACGAGTGGCAACAAGTGATTTATTTAAAGAATGCCATTCGCAATCACACACACACATTTCCTCATCTTTCCGGAAATTGCTGAGTGCAACATCAGCGAAAACTTCATCTTTATCTTTACCACGAAACATTCATCGAACCGCACTCATGCATATGTGACTCATCGATGCAAACAAGTCGTAATGGAGAGGAGCGAAATCTGCTGAGTGAAACGCATAAACTAACAGTGCCTGACTCAGGACTTTCAACCCTATGCGAATCGCATGCGGTAGATTAATTGCTGGTGACAATAGATAATGCCTTACTGGTTCCACGAAATAAAGAGCTTTATTTTCCTGCCGAAGCAGTTCAGTCTTGCGATCGAGTGGAAGATGCGCTTGGAATTCTTAAAATAAATCCAATTTTCCACCCCAATAACGATATGATACAAAAATGACTTTCCTTTGTGTCTTTCGTGTCAAATTTCATATTTCACGACATTCGTCCGCCAATCTTTTCTGAATTCCTCACATATCTCTCACAGGCAATTGGAAACAGTTTGTTAACTAATTGCAAATGAATCCGGGGGATGGTCTTTCCGTTTGTGCTTCATCTTTGTCTTCGTGCAATAAGACGTACAATTCTTCATCGTCATACGTTTTCGGCGTTTCTCCCTGTTAGCCGTCTGCAATATCGAAATCGTCCCGCTTATGAAACGCTCAAACCATCACTCACACATATCTTCCGTTCTAACATGTTCAATAGCAGCATTCTTCAAATGAAAATAAAACATACGTGCTGTCGACACATTTCAAAATACGGACATTATGCAAAAACTTTCTCGATTTATCGCCTATTGCGCCTCTCTGATTGATAGGAAGAACAAAGTACTTATATAATGTATCAAAGGTTTATACAAAACGCTGCGTTTTTTTGCGCCATCTGTTTCTTAAATCATATCTCATCTTCTCCCACTTCTCCGTCGTACACGCCATCTGAGTCAAACACTTTACCATACAGCGACATCTATTGGTCATGTTCTATATTTGACATTTAGTTAATCAGTGAAAATATTATACACATTTTTTTCTTAATTTAATGCGAAATTATTTGAGTTAAGGTCTTTGATGAATATTAAAGCATTACTTAACACAACGGTCGCAATTGTTTCAGAGATAGATCACGTAAAAAGACCGTAGAAGAGAAAATACAGGCTTATCGTATTCTCCTTCTTCTTTTTTTTGTAATAGTAACAACTCACTATGATTAGTAACAATGGATTCTTAACAAGCTTACCGTATTTGTGTGTTGTAGAATTTTTTCGAGAAACTTCCAGTCATTTCTGTTAAAATACGTCGATGAAATTTTATATAAAAATATGCTATGATATCAAAATGATTTATTGCCCCCTATTTATTAATTTTGTTTATTTACGATATTTGTTAACAGCTGATGAAAGAAGAAAGAAGAAAGAAATAATAAACAATCGTAGCCACAAGCTTATCACAATACACAAATGGGAAAAAACAAAACAGTAATTAAAAAAAAAACGATTAGAAAACATATATTAGATTTCCACATGCTTTATATAAATTTATCATTTAGTGTTTAACGTGTATTCCTTACTCCTGCGTCGGCGATTAATTGGAATTTCAATGTCCAAGGGACAAAGTAATTTAATACAATTCATTAATTGCCGTTTAGTACGCAATCATCAACTAATCAAAGATGATTTATGGATACGAAATGGCAAAATTGTTAATCCAGAACCAATATTTTTCGATGAGCAATGTCTAGCGGACTCGAAAATCGATTGTGCTAATGCTATAATTGCACCCGGTTACATAGATTTACAAATTAATGGTATATAAACTAAGCGATAACTTTGTAAATAGTAAGACTAGCAAGGCTTATGGAAATTGGCGATGGAACAAAAGAAAAATAAAAATATTGATAATATGGAATTATTAAAAAAATTGCAAAAACAAACACACAATACGTTACATATATTATGTCAATGCATATAGGGCGTAAAGAGAAATTTCCACAATGCATCTGTTTGCATTCAAAAAGTTCAAACAAATTAAATCAAAATTCTGTTCATTCTTCAGTATAAGCATTTAATGTGTTGACCTATTTTCTCTAATTTCTAGATTATCTTTATAGTCTTACTATGTTAAAGTTAAGCATGAAATGCTCTATCACTATAGAGCTTATCTTATCGGCTACAAAAGCAATGGTCGCATCTATTAGTTTACGCAGCACGCTCCCATCTGCGATCATAAAGACTTTTCTAAAGAAATACGAATTTTTTTTCTTGTTCTTTTCTCGCCACAATTATGATAAACAACTTAGGAGGTTATGGTGTCGATTTTTCGTATGATACCGAGACTGTTAAGGAGGGTATTAACAAAGTTGCAGCTGGTTTAATTACAAATGGAGTTACATCTTTTTGCCCTACACTGGTAACATCACCATCGGCGACCTATCATAAAGTTTTACCGCAAATTCCAAAGACAACAAACGGTGCCTCTGTTCTAGGCGTGCACTTAGAAGGACCCTTCATTAACACGAAAAAGAAAGGAGCACATCCAGAAACACATATACAGGACTTAGATAAGGTAAATTATTAATTTTGTTTTTTCGTGTGAATGTGAAAGAATAGAAATTTTTAGTAACACTTTGCATATCACGCTTAAAGGCAGATTTACATTGGAAACGAAGAAAATTATTAAAAAAATTAATATTTCACAGATTTTTTTCTATTTTTAGGGCATTGATAGTCTTTTACAAACGTACGGTTCATTGGATAATGTAAAAATAATCACAATTGCACCAGAATTGGATGTAACCGGTGCAGTTGCACAAACACTTACCAAAAAAGGTATAATAGTATCTCTGGGTCATTCCATGGGTAGCTTAAGTGACGGTGAGAAAGCTGCCAAAAATGGTGCTTCACTCATAACACATCTTTTCAATGCCATGCTACCAGTAAGAACTCAAGTTCATATTAATTGTTTAACCGTAGCAGTTTGATTTTCTTCAGTTTCATCATCGTGATCCCGGTTTAGTTGGCCTTTTGACTTCTGATGCCATACCTCAAGATCGTACAATATATTACGGTCTTATAGCTGATGGTGTTCATACCCATCCGGCGGCCTTGCGTATAGCGCATCGTACGCATCCCGATGGCCTGTGTTTAGTTACCGACGCTATATCCGCCTTAGGGCTAGAAGAAGGTATCCATCATCTAGGACAATTAAACTTAGAGGTAAAACAAGGCAAAGCTTTTATAGCCGGTACGGATACCCTGTGTGGCAGCATCGCCCCCTTGGATGAATGTGTTCGAATTTTTAGAAAAGCCACTGGTAAGCAAAAATTATTGAAATCTAAATTACGCTCTTACATAAATTAGATATTTTGCCATCCTTAGGTTGTTCAATCGTTTATGCCATTGAAGCGGCCACTTTACATCCTGCCAAATGTTTAAACATTCAAAATACCAAAGGCACCCTTGACTTTGGTTCAGATGCCGATTTTATCTTCCTAAATGACGATTTAAATGTCCTGCGTACATGGATTAACGGTTACTGTGTTCACGCTAAGAACCTAGACGTGCCTATCTAATCAATTATCAACTTTATAATACCCTATGAGATAAAAATTGCAAAATATATTTTTATAATATTATATAGACTATCGAATTTTTGTGAATAACATATTGCGAGCAATAAAAAAATCTTTGTATTTCGTTATACATTTGCGTAGAGTACAACGAATCGAACTTAAACCCAATTAATTCAATAGATATTTTTCAAGTTCTTGATTTATTAGAAGCACTAGATATCATTGATGATATTCATGGTACCTTTGTTATCAGAAGAAACGATGATTGACTTGAACTAACGTAAAGATTGCGTTTGCTTGGTGAAAGACATTTGATGAAATGGCAAAATGGGCAAAATAACGAACAAAAATCTTATCAAATATATTATATAGCTTGACCGTATGTGTATGTAAAATAAAATTAATAGGAAGATAAAGTAAACCTGCACTATAAAAATAAAAGTCGCTCGCTTTCTCTCTCTCTCTCTCTCTCTCTCTCTCTCTCTTTCTTTCTTTCTTTCTCTCAAAAGTCCCTTGAAAATTTATTTTATTAAAAATTTTTATTCGATTATCCTTTACAATGACAGGCTTTGTCCCATTCTCATAGCATTTATGTAGGAATGTTGAAATATATTGTGATTCTGAAAGAGAAGCAATAGTAAGATATGCTCGCCGTTTATTGCTTTTAAAATTCTATAAGAGTATTAAGAAGAACTATCAATATTGTTTCGGACTAGCATACGAGGGAATGCAAAAAGCCTGTTGGATCAACAAAGTATAAAATTGATATAATAGTGTGCGAACTTGGAGGTATTGTCGTATAAAAAGTTAATTACGTGCCGTTAATCACTGCGCCGTTTATAGTAAAAGTTAGCGTGGTCATCCAGAACGATTTAAGATATATCCAACTTTTTATTATGTCAATCGATTAAAGTCTGTCAAGTCTATTTTTGAAGTCAACCGACTGATCTTAATTTTCAAGTTATTTTCTTTTGAATTCAGTATTGATGGATATTGGCCTAGAACGAGCCCTATTGAGAATAGATTAGATCGGTTCACTCTTCCGACTATTCGTCAAATAACGCCATCTTCAATACTCCTCAAGGTAAAATATTATCTAAGCTTTACCAAGGGCTACAATCAGTTAGCTATCCTTACGAATTTATGCAGACATAGTATAAATCATTTTACTTTCTATATAAATCAAGAGAAATTTTAATTGCATTCTCAAAACAAATTTTATAACTTGCAAAATATTTATTCATCTGTTTTCCAAAATGGAAAAGTGCAGAAAAAGAAAAACAATATTTTAAAATCAACAACAGATTAATATATTCCTCTGGAATAAATAATATATATAATAAACTAATAATAATTTTTTTATCTTAAATATTTTAGCCATCATATCCATCACATAGCCTATGCACTCGTTGTCTATAACAATTGTATGCGACTTGTTTATAATGATTTAGATTTCGCACCTTTTCCGTCGTCGAAGGGTGCTAATACACCAGGTGGACCTCCAAAGCTTCCCTTAAATTTGTGTGCATCCGAGGTGACATGATGCTTGGTTGTAGCAACGTTTGGGCTGCTGAAACTCTTGGTAGTAGCTGTAGCTGTTACTGAGGCGACACCTTGCGGAGCTAAAATACCAGGCGGTCCTCCAAACCTGCTGTTATATTTTGTCTCGCCTAATCAAAAACATTACAATTTACGTAATTATATCAGACGTATACATATAAAAATTATATATATATATATATATATGTATATATATATATATTCTCTTGCACTTACCTTTTCGGATTGATGCTGATGTTGTACCGGTTGTTAGTTGATTGTTTCGAAGGAATTTCTCATCGCCGGCTTTGACGATTGTCGTCTGAGTCGGTATCAGCGGAACGTCATAAGAAGTGGTGACATTAAAATAGGGCGGGAACGATTCATAGCGCACGTCTAGGGGCTGTAAAGTGGCTTCAATGGTTGGTATCACAATTGATGGATTAAAACCAAATGGAGTTCTCTTCGTGGTAACTGCATTAGGTAGAATGTTAGGTGCAAATGGATTGGAGGCTATAGAAGGCGACGACGATTGAAAATTCGTATTGCTTCCCGAATCGAATGTTGACGTATCGTCATCATCCTCCTCATCGTCGTCAATTTCATCAGGATTGTAAACGTATGGAACGCCTGGGCCAACGTCTGGATAATCGAATCCTTTTAACCACGGAGGTATCGTCGGTTCAAACGGATTGCCCTCAATCTTAGACGATAAATCGGTAGAAACGGATTCCTGATCCTTAACATGACTATTGATATTTGGAACCGTCAATAATGAATTAGGTCGACTGGGTGTTGATGTTCCTGAAGTTATATGCGAAATATTTTTGTTAGACAAATGGTTAGAGGTTGATTTGTTTGGTTTGATTGTTGTACTAATGCTGTGTTGTGAAGCGTTAATGTTTGATTTAGTATATATGAGTGACGATGCTGCGGCGTGCTGTTCTGATGTGGACGATCTGTGATTGTTTGTAAACGGTTTTAATGTAGTGATAGTGTTAGGATTTTTGGTCGTTGATATATTTTTGGTTTGAACCCAATGCCGATGATAGGTTGTCATTAAAGGACGACGTGTTGTGGTAGTCGTCGGTTTTTTTGTCGTTGTGACATGACTAGTAAAAGACGTGGTGGAAGAAGATCTATTCGAGGTCTCTGTATTCGTAGGTAGGTGTAAAGTGCTGAGATCGATAAACGGCTCAAGGGGTGGCAGAATTTCACGCTCGACGGTATGATTATAATCATTGTTATCGTTAGGCACAATAAACGGTACAGCCACGTCAAGGTCGGGATCATCAATATCCGCCAACCAAGATGGCAGAGTAGAAGAATCGCCCGCCTCAAGTCGTAAGAACGTAGATTCATTTGCGATAGTCGTTAAGCGAGATTTTGTCGTGGTTGAAGGTCGATTTGTGGGCGTGGTTGTTTTCAATTTCTGAGATAAATTATCAGTTTCCACTTTGCCACCAGTGACATGACTAACAAGCGTTGCTACCGGACTAAGGCTTTGGCCAGCTGATAATATTGCTTTAGTTGTATAATTATTGATACTTTCGGTAGCAATTATGTCTTTTGGTGGATTATTATCTTTGGTTATGATTCTACTCTCACTGGTATGATATTGTTCAGAGTCTTTTGGTGGTAATAAGTCCCAAGCAATAATTTTTAAGTTTTCTGCATCTGGAGAGGGCACATAATCAACCGGACCACCAATATCTGGATCATTAAGATTCCGGATATACTCTGGCAATTCCATAATTTTTGGATCTAAGATGGAAAATTATTGATATTATTTAAGTCTTATTAAATAAATATATGGAGCATTGATAGAGAGAAAGCGGAAATTGGTCTGGAGAAGATGGATGTCGCTTATGCTTAGTTGCAACTGTTGTTAACTTGCTTATCGACATAATCGAATAAGATAAATTGGCAATTTATATATGATAGTTAAAAGCCCTAACCGCAATACGAGTACACATGTCAGACGAAATATTGAAATTTTAATGAAAAATGTAATCAAACAATGGATGAATCGCAGCTCGTTGGGATAGCAGTAAGAGCAGTGATTACCTTATATATAAAATGCATGCTTGTATTAGCAGCAAAGTTGAAGAATTTCAGGCGAAGGTAAAGGTTAGTATTTTTTTGATAGCAAATAGCAACCAAAAGTTTTCTCTTATTTTCAAAGATTGATCAAAAAGTGCCGGGAAATACTAAATTAAAATAATTAATCAAATGCGATAAGGTATATTTGTTGAGTCTTTGATTGCTATTACGATTTCCATCTTTGTTGAATATCAGAGCTCTACAACAAGTTTTTTACTTGTATAGTTAGTTTTCTTTTATGTTTTTTTTAAATGACCAATCACTCAGGGAATATCCTCTGGCACCAAGAAGGAGAAGAAGTGAAGAAGGGGAATGATATAGGGACGTGGCTGCGACTTAGTGGGCCTGTGTACCGAATCGGTAAATGTTATGCCGCCTTTGCTGTCTGAGCACTCGCTACAGCTACGGTCAAAAGCAAACTTTACCGCAATGAGACTTGAACCCGGCACTGCTAAGTTGTTAGTCGCGCTTGTTACCTACTCGACTATTCTTGCAGTATTTCGGGTATTGGCTTAATTTTTCCCTTTGTTTTTCTAAATCGGTTTGAACTAATGGGTACTATGCCCATAGTAAACTTATTTCCAATTACATGCCATAGTAAACTTATTTCCAATTACCATCTACGGTGAATTTCTTCTTGTTGATATCAAAAAAAGCTTTTGACTTTGTCTACTTAATTCCCTTTCATATTTTCTTAAATTAGTTATAAAACAATGACGAACTGTCATAGTAATTGTAAATCAACTAAGAGAAATCAAAGCTTCATGTGTTCTTCACGGTTCAGCTTATGTACATTACAAACTTTCCAAGAATGTTAAAAAAAATTTGGATAACAGAGTTTTCATTCGTAGTGGGAAATCATTAAAGGCTCTTATGAAAAAGCTATGTTGAACCCCAAAGCTATATTATTTCCTTTCAATGAATAATTCTCCAAAGAAAAGTCCCTCACAATCGTTGCGAGTACAAAGTCAACAAACACCTTTCTCTAAATGTTTCCCACAGACACACGGACGGACATGCTTAAATGCATTCCGAATTTGAAACCAGCCAACACTTTATATTCTTTATGGGACTTTTGAAGCTTGCTTCTGTGCTAATTTTTAAGCGAAATCTTTATTTTCGCTAAAGGAAGAATGTTTACCGCGAATGCTACACAGTTGCGCAGACAGGCAGATAGACATATAGATGAATGGGTGGATGTGTTTAGGTAAAATTGAAACTGACCACGAATTTATATACTTTATGGGGCGACAAATTTTTTCCATTTTTGCACATATTCCACAGTATCGCCCATGAATATATGATGGGTATATTCGTTTCTAAATGTCAAAACGTTTGCAACGCCCAGAAGGTAACTTCCAAGTATATATATTCTTGATCAGCATCAAATTCTACGTCAATTAAAGCATGTCTATCTGCCCGTTTGTCTGTCTGTTCGCAAAAATAAACTTCAAATTCGGCAAAAGTATTGTAATGGGCCAAATCGGTTGAGGGACACGCCCAGAGCACCACATAAACTGAAAACACCTCTGTTTCTCAAAAGAAATAATTAATTGGTTTTTTGCATCGAAAGCCACATAAAGTCTAAAAAATTTTTCACCAGTTTCAAATTTGGATTTCAACTAAGCATATCCGTCGGTTAGTTCGTCCATCTGTCCATGTATCCAACTATGTAGTATTGGTTGTAAACATTCTTCCGTTCGCATGAATGAAGATATCGTATACAAATTTGCAAAAGGAAATCAAAATGACGTAAACCAGGCATGCTAGTCAAAGGGCATGCCTGCAGCGTCCACACATCTACGCAGCAGAAACTTTCAGTAGAACATCTTGTTACCCATGGAGTAAGACACATATGCGATATAATAATGTATTCTGAAAATAGAAAAAATCAACCGCGCCCATCCAATTGAAAGCATAGTTCTTTTCCGGTTTTTGAAGCCTTTTTCAGGACAACAGTGATGAGCATAAAAAATACGCGCAAATCCCTAATGCTTATTTTGGAGTATTGCGAACGGAACAAAAGCAAAAACCTCCTTTCAAACCATTCGCATTGTATAACACGTGTTATGTATTAGCCTTGTAGCATAGTAAATTTTGGACACCGGCCACGGGTCACTTCTATTTTACTACCATGTACTCACCTATATTACTACAATACATATGACATAGGTGCATTTTCGGAAACACTAAGCTACTTTAGGTAAGGTGCTAAATGGATTGCTCCTGCGTTACATTTTAAGCATCCTATGTTATAGGACTAGCTTGTGCATTTCAATACACTTGTATGTGAACCGCGACAAAACTGTCGTATGTATATATTGTATCAATGTTAATGTTATCATATTTGTGTCTATATAGCATGTTAAGTTTTCAATACTGTGTCCGTTAAGAAGCGACGAAGACAAATAAGGAAATTGAGTTAAATATAAATGCCATAAATACGTATGAAAGAAACGGACACGTATTTATGCATCCGCGATTAGTGTGCACGTGGCTGTATCTATTCATCCTCTTATAAAATGTGTATTGAATTTCAAAATTGTACTCTGGCACATATGCCATTTTATTTCAATTTTTTTGGGCCAAAGACCCAAGTTTCAATGAAGAGGCCTGCAATAACTTCAAATATTATTTTGGTCACCAATTCGCAAAGCACGTAGCGTATATTCAATGATAAAATCAGTGTAAAAATATCGATTGAAATAATTAATGCTTAGTACAAAAGTGATATCGATGGGGTAATTGACACAACAAAAATGAAGACAACATGCTTTGCATACATTACTGAAGTGAATTGGTATCGAAGATGCGAAGATTAATGCATAAGTTTTTTGTTATTTCTACTCTTGGCTTTAATCTAAAAAAAAATGCACGAGGTAGCCAAAGACAGGTGAACAGGTGGGAAGAACAAGGGATGACAAAGTTGCAAGCGACAAACAAATTGTGATTGACTTATAATCACATTGGCATGTAGTTAATGTTCATAATTTTTTTTTTTTCGATTGGTTAAATCAGAGTCATTGAAACAATCATTAATAATACGTAGAACCAGAATTAAATGTCAAAAGATATGTATATATATATATATATATTTGGTTAAAAAAAAATGTTTATATATAATATGTGTATGAACATTTACATTTTTTTTTTTTTTTTTTTCATATTTTTACACTCAAAAAAATCTACACATTCATAACGAAAATAATAAAAATAATTAATGCAAATAAATGGTTATGATGTCTGTCATCTTGTTAGGTGTAATGACTGTTTAAATGTGTGTGCTATGAATACGTGAGTAATTAATAATGCGCACGTTTCGGATGTTAGTGAACTTTTCTTGCTTACTTAAATTGTGAATGAACTGTTAAACGAAGTCAAGAATCTTTATACATATATAGTATTAGAAAAATTTTGTATATTAAATAAAATGAAAAATATTAAGCCCATTCGATATTGAAATGTGTATATTAATTTCATTTAATTTGCAAATAAATTAATTGTATGAATGAATGAACGAATCAATGAATTTGAATGGCTTAATACTTTTTAGATAAACTTGTACAGATAGTGTTTGTTTTTTAACATTTTTAAGCGATGAATATCTTTGGCGGTATTACCAGTTCCATTCATTCATGTCAAAAATGTTCAATAATTTTATTGGTTTTCTTTTTCATCTTCTTCTTATGCTTTTTTTTTTTTTTTTCTTCTTTTTTTAATGAAATACACCTTGACTTCAAGAAGATGAAAAACAAAACCCAGATAGTTTCAACAAGTTTTATATTCTTCGACTATTTAGATAAATATATATAAATATATAGAAGTTCTGTTAATTACTAAAAATATCTAATCAGCGTAATTCATTTTTGAGAAGCATAAACATCAACAATAACAATAACAAAAACAAAAATAAAAACTTGATTTTTAACAAAGCAAGGACAAATAATTGCAAAGTAATTCTTTCATCTTTCAATGACGAAATTTTTGCGCCCCTCGATAGAAGATTGACGTGTATGGATAATCATTTCGTATATGTATTCGTTGGGGCAGTTAAGTCATTATTATTTTTGACAAGCTTTAAATGCTTGAAATGATAATTAATGACGTTTAACTTGCAACAGAAGCACTTGCTTTCCCAAATTAACTTGAGCCGTAAGAAATCTCAAGTATTCATCCATTTATGTAAACTTTATTTATAATCTAATTATGCTTGTAATCAAGTGGTTAACGAATGCTTACAAATGCATGCGGTATCTCAGTCTAAACATGTTCTCATGTCGCCTGTGATTATTGACTAAGAATGGACACCTTAAGCCTTAACTGTTCAGCTCATGTTTTGTGAGTGTGCAGTGACCTCCACAAGTCTATAAGGCACGGAAAGAACTAAATCAATTCGGAAACTCTCATCACAAATACATATAACTTGGAAGACCTTCAGCCCATATGTTTGAGCTTTAGCAACGATAGACGACATTAGGACTAAAAAGAGCTAAGGAAATAATATTCGCTTTGGCGCGATGGCCACCACTTGCAAGGAATGCATTATAGCAGTTATTAGTGTGCTTGTCGACGCCACTTTTACATAATCTTTGTCAATGTCTTATTGGCTTTAGCTTGTAATTTAGATTTTGTTATCTATTGTGAGAGTCAAGGAGAATGCATGCCGGCAATTTTTTCAATCAAGCTCTGGTCATCAACTGAGCTTGTATATCCCAGCTTTCCGATATCTATCCCAAAATCTTCGACCGTCACAGTCGGATGGACGGACAGACAGGGTTGAATTGAATCAGAAGCTTATGACGACCAAGAACATAAACATTTTGTAAAGTAAATATATATATGTATGTACATATTTAATCAGAATTAAATTTTGTATGTCAATTGTCTTTGTAAGAAGACATGTAAGTATCTTTGACAAGCCCGAGTATCAAAAATTCAATTTATACACATTAAGTCAACAGCAGGTGCACCCTGCATTAAAGTTATGAAAATATATGTAATGTCATGTAATTCGCATCCGTAGCTGATATTTGAGAATGGACTCAATCCAGTCATCTCTCGACGATAGTTTGAAAAACTTGAAATAAGTTTAAAAATATTTGAAAAATACGAACAATAATTACAAGATATAAGTTTAAAGCTTCGCATGGATAGCCGAGTAGGCAAAGTGTGTAGAGAATAAACAAATCAATAAATAAATGAATTTAAAGCAAAGAAGGAAAAGTTATGACAACTGTATGTACACTATTATCGTCCATGTACTACAATAAATACAACTATGCCCTATGGCTATGAGAAATGAAAGTAAGCGGCGAATCTTCTTTTAACAAACATGTATAGGGTTTATTAAGGCAACATACCGTATCGGTTACTCACGAGGCGAGTCAGAGTACCGAGAATGAAGGCGAACTGAACATTGAACTGAAAATCTTAATCCGAAAGTAAGATTAAAATATATTTTTCAAAAATCATCTTATAAAGTTGAAGTGCATCTATCGATGGTCCGAAGAACACTGTATATAATACAATAATTTCTCAGTTAAACTCAGTGAAAACAATTATTTGTTAATTCGGGTAATAACTACTGGGATCAAACAAGAATTTTAAGAAGACAGACGAACGCTACTCAACATTTCAATTGCGTTTTTATGGAATGAGCGGTCATCGGCGCAATAGTCTTCAGCATTTTTCTGGGCGACCAACTATTGTTTCGGACGGAGACGCGTAAAGATAATATCTCTCAAATTAATTTTAATTTAAGTCCAAGGCAACGCCAGCCTAGAACAACCGATTAGCACCTTTTCAAATATTAAGCTAAGAAAACACTTTGGCCTTGTGAATGCATCTGCCCCGATTGATAGATATCCAAGCCACACATTACGGTGTGGTTAACTTTATAAGTGGAATTGTACCCTTTCCGTAATGAAATGTAATTCACTATTGAAAGCGTGTTAAGTTAAAACCTATCAAGTCAAACCGGAATTCAAGATTCACTCAGTGCAAAAACTTAGTTGTATGTATATAAATGTACAGATGTACCAGCAATGAATTGGCTAACAGTCATAAGTTTGCGCGGTTGTTTAACATATATTGATCGACTCTTGATCGTGGCCAAGAAAAACCTCCATGCCTATCACTTCCCTTCCAGCCAAGTGGTGAATTTGTCTTCAATCCAGCCTTTGTCATTTTTGTGCCCATCATCGAAGGATGATTCATTTTATCAAAACGTCTGCAACGCCCCGACGGAAGCACCACAAATCCCGCAAAGTAGAATAAATATATATATGATTTAAGCATGTCCGTCTGTATGTCTATCCGTCTATATAATGTCTACTGTAAACATTCTCTTGGCCGCAAAAATGAAGCCATCGACTTTAAATTTGGCAAGTTCTTGCACGCAATCAAGCCAAAGCGATCGAAGAACACAACTACAGTGCCACATAAAGTTGGAACACCTCTGGTTTTCAAAAGAAATAAAAAATTGATCTTTTGCTCATTACTCATAAACCGTAGCAGATAAATGCAAAAAAATTTGAATACATATTTTATGGGCAATGCTACAGCACCTGTACGTATATGGGAAAAATTGATCACGCCTATTCAATATAATGGCGTATCGAATTTTAATATGACGTATATGAATTCTTGTGCCAATTTCAAATTCGGAATGCACCTAAGCATGTTCGTTCATTCATCTGTTCATCTGTTCATCTGTCCGCCTGCCAAACAGTGCAGTATCTGTGCTAAAGATTCTCCCTACGTAACGAAGATGAAAATATCGCCCAAAAAATTTGCAAAAGAGTTTGGAAAAGACCTAAACTTCTCCAAGGACACGGTTACAACGCCCACACGTCTATGCGACAAGAAATTGCTATTTTGAGAATAGAAAAAATCATCCGCGCCTAATCCATATTACAGAGCTTCTTTTATTTATTTTTTTTTTTTTTGTCATTTTTAGAATAACGATGATGGGTATACAAGATTCGGTTACGACCGAATATAATTTTCTTACTTGTTTTTGCTAAAAATTTATTTCAAGTTAATAATATATCGAAATCAAAAATTTTCGTCTATCTTTAACTTTGATCGTAGCATAGGTGATTAACTGATGTTACATTAAATATGCCTAAGTAAGTAATAAAAACGCGTTTCTACCCTCTATTCTTGCTAACGCTATCTGTTAATCTATAATATAAATATATATATAAACTTTTGTAAATTTTAAGTGATTTGGTTAGTTAGATTACATACCTATTTTGGATCGTGGGAACTTTACAAACTAAAGTCGATCGAATGAGATCATATTGCAAGAGGATCTAATCTTTAAATAAATTTAATTTTTAACGCAAAAAAAGACTAAATAATAATAATAATAATAATAATAATTTTTTTATTTATTAATTAAATGAATATAATAAATAAATATGTATATCGTGTTTTGTATATATGTGCACGTGGCTCAGCCTACAGATTTCAAATACATGTAAAGCGAAACGCTCATAAACAAATCAACGGACAAGACGGACAATAATAAATGATAATTATAAAGACAGAAACAACTAAACTATATACTAAAACTATTAAAAAAACAACTTTATGCATAATTTAAAATTTCCAATTATTAAAATAAAGAAAAAAGGAAGAAATAAAAATAAAATAAAAAATCATGACGCGGCGACGATTATCATTAAATTAAAAAAATATATATACATATATAAATATAAAGAGAAGAAAAATGAAAACTTTTAATACGAGCGCTATTTATAAGTATGTATGTAATACGTACGAATGCCTATATGAATTATCTGACTACCTGATTTGGATTTTACTCATATCTTACGTAAGATTGAGGATGTTTTCATATTCAATAGCAGAGAATGAAAGTAAACTAAATATATACGTTACGTAGGTAACATGAAGTAATAACATGAAGTAGTTGAAAACCGTAGGGAGCATAATAATGCTTTGAATCTAGTTTTTTTTTTTTTTTATTGTCTGCCTGCTGCCTGCTACCTGCTGCCGATCACATATAAATGCAATGAATGAAAATGAATCGATCTTAGGTACTGATTGAATAGGATAAGGGTCCATATATATACATAGACGGTTGATGGCTTCTACGGCTATTAATTACTCGCTGTCTCAAACACCGTTTCAATCAATACACTAGAGGGCCGATTTCGACCTTTCCCGTTCTACGTATTTAGATGACTTTAGTTAGTAATTATTTTAAGTTAGATTGTAGACTAATTCCGACACGACGCAGAATATATAGTAAACGCATAGCCCTTTTTTTTTATTTGAAGATATGTTTATAACCTGGTTACGTGCATTTTCGAAGGTTTTTTCAGGTTTGACTAACAATCGAGGCTTTATACTTGACGATTCCAAGTTTTACATCTGCATTCTTATAATGAAGGGGGGAAGAGTAACAGAATCCCATACCGGTGAGGAAAACTTTACAAATTCGGTAAACGAAAATGATGTTTATCGCACCTAGCTTCTTTATGCGAAATTTGGATACGCATCCCCTCAATAATGTCCGCATTTTTTCAAGTAAATGTAGATGTATTAACAAGCTTCTTGGAATCATATTCAGCTTCTGTAGGCTGTTTCGTTCGACATGCTCCTCCCGCAACATTGATTTCAATAGTTACGTTGCATGTGATGTCTTCTCGTTACCAATGCCATGTTCCAAAATGTGCCTATGTTCGTCCTAGTTCGTGAGAAGGAAATGGGCTCAAGTCCTCCCCAACTTTCTTGCGTGTAGCCGCATAAATAATATTCGTTTTACACCGCACAATATGCGATATGTTAATGTAATTGAATTTTTTTTTTTTTAAAACTCTTTCAGAAAGTCTGTTGAAAAATGTCGTTGTTAACATGTGGAAGGAAGGAAGGAGGAAATTTAACCACAAAATTGTTATATATTTTTTTCTCTTCTATTCTTCCTTTTTGGGATAACTTTTTTTATGCAATTGTGAAGTTTTCAAGTTGACTCCACTAAACAAGTCACTTTAGTGTGTCTCAGTCGCACAACGCGTACTGAAACTGAGTTAACAGAAACATTTTTTACGAAAATGGTGGGTATCCAAAATTCGTTCTAGAAGGAGTATAAAAACAACTCAACAATTCAATATTTTTTTTTTTTTTTCTTTTTGGTATTATAAATATTTTAAAGTAAATTTTTATACGTGTACCAATCTGCAAATGACATAACCATCGAGCCGCTTTAAATTACAGATAAGCCAGAAGAGCACGACTTTTTATTGTATATGAGATTTCAAAATGCATTGAATAAACAACTGCAACTTCATATATGAATTTTATAATTGTATAGAATTCGATTAAGAAGAAATAGGAGAAAAACACAGAGGGGGAAAAATATTTATGTGTTTTTGTATATAAATACCAAGTTTTGCCGGTACGCCAGAAACTGAGCCATGTTTGCATATTATTGCAACCGTAATAAATAGCATAGCAAGCCAAGATATTTTATGCTTCTGATGGCAGCCATCTGACCCAATAAAATGTACTCCCGATGTTGTAAGCATTTTCATTAATATTTTTTATGTTTTTTTATTATATTTTATTTTTTTTTTTTATATATTTTTAATAAATAGTTTTTTAAAAATTGCAAATTTGCAAATTTTTTATTTTATTTTTGTTATTATTTGCACATAAATTTTAAATAATGTAAATATTATTACATTACAGTCTTAAAGTTTATGAGCAATGCGTGTCATTACGCTTGGATTTGCATTGTAATTAAAATGCATAAATATTATTCATCAATAAATATGACGCGATACCGATTCAACATACATTCCTCGATAAAATGAAGATGAAACGTTTAAAAGCCGCAAAATACGTCTATACAGCGGCGCAACTACCGGTTTAATAAAATCGTGCTTTAAAACAATTCCAATAATAACTGAAAGCAAAAAGCGCAAAAAAAAAAAAAAAACAAAAAAAAAAAAAAATTCTACGTAGTACTGGTAACAACCGCGTTAAAGTCGTGATGCTGCTGCTGCTGTGGCTGCTTTATTAATGCTAATGATGCAAATGCTAAGCTGCCAATACAATGATGATACGTTCATTCGACTAACTTAGTAATGTGTTTTTCAATTTCGTTTTAAATGATAAAGCTTTTAATTTGAAGCGCTAATCATCTTAAGATCCGTTTAAAATTTAAATCTTTCATTAAACACAAATATAACTTCATTTTATAATATATATATTAATTCTGTATGCATTCACGGCCAAAAGGCGTAAGAGCTCAATTTTATGAAAGTAAAAATATGAAGTAAATTGGAATTATCAAATGCTAGCTGATGAGTACATGACCTTATAGGCCTTGCATGCCATTCGACGCGACTATGAATGGCGGCACTTACAAAGCTTTCATTGTCTCCTTGTCTATCTATTGTATTTAAAGCACTTTTACAATCTAAAAATTTTATCCAAAAGCGCCGCCAGATCGCCATCTGAAAGAAAGGAATTTCACCTTCTTATCACTTCCTATTAAATTTAATTCAATAAACTTTACTTTCGAATTACTTTCTACACTTATTGATATTTTGGGGGAATCCTTAGTGCCATACGTTGCCATATCTGCCTTGTTTATTGCATCTTCACTTTAGCTATGCAATATAAATCCGCATATTACGCATTTATCTGCCGCAAATTTATTAAATTTATCTAATTAGATTATTACAAAATTCCAATTATATATATGGACTTGTATAAATAACGGAAGCGATTATTCTTGTACATTTATTCGTCGCTTATTGTAATTATCCCGAATGTTATTTAAAAGAATTTATTTAAATTAAAATTTGGATACATCCGCCTGGGTGGCCGAGTAGGCAAGAGTCTCGACTAGCAACTCAGTGGTCGTGGGTTCGAATCTCAAGTGCGGTAGAGTTTTTAATAAAAGCCGATAGCCTTAGATGCTAGTGCTTTTAAGAGTTTAATCTTAGAATTTATTTCTCTGGCGAAATTAATAATAATAATAATAATAATAATAAAATTTGGATACTTAAGATCCGCTTATTCGGTGAGAAACTGGTCCCCAAAAAAATATCTTATGAATTGGCCCTTTGGTAATATAAGGAAGAAATTCGTAAATTTCTTCGAGTCTTCTTTCACTTATTATTATTGAATTTTATTGAAGTGAGAATATTGTAAAATCGCTGCGTAACTTTTATGCCATGCCGTCACAATTATAACGACGAGAAAAATTTATAGTTCACCAAGGCCTGCTGTACCCTGTATACTGCTTCGCCTGTTAAAACTATTCATTTATTTTCGGGTAAAAAATCGTGTTAAAGCATACTTTCCACCAAAATATTTATATGGCGTAGTGTCTAAGGAGCAGAAGACCTATTTATTTCAAATTTGGTATAGTTAGTTTTTTTTTGTCAACTTACTGTCGCATACTGCCCATATCAATTTTATCCCTAAAAGTATGAAATTTAGACTTATTGCCGTAAAGAAAGTGACCGTGCGTAGAAAAAATTATATAGAAGCAGGTTGAAAAAATTGATTTATCCGATTTCTACGATCAAAATGCTACTGTACTTTTTTCGTAGCGAAATTTTGAAAATTTTAAATTTTCCTCAATAATAAAAAACTTTTTCAAAGTGCGATGTTATGCAGTCCAAGGCAATTTAATTGGAGTTCATCGTTGGACAAAAACACAAGTGAGTGCATCAAATACCTTAAAAATAGGGAGCTATAGCTTGAACACATAAACATGAATGAACAGACATCAAACCTATAGACAATTTCAGATTCAGAAAAAAATTCTGAATTAATGATTATATTAAAGGGCGGATGGATCTATCGGAAATTCCTTCAGTTCTACTAAATGCAATACACCACCATGGGCATCGCAGGCCGTAAATAATTGGCGAGTTTGCGAATATTTTATTGAAATTCGTTTTCTTTTTTCTTGCGATTAACATTTAAATCATGACATTGCCTTAAAAGATCAAAAGAGGAAAATGCACTCCATTGCGCTCCATTTATGGATACTGTATGCAACTTATCTCCAATCCGGTAGAAAGTTTTACTGGAAGTATATTTTGGATATTAGCGATGACGCTCCCATTTAGGTCGATCTATTTTTAATTTTACTCTTCGCATATGTTATGTGAACTGTAGTACTTTTCAGGTGTAACACATATGCTATTCGTAGAATGTGCTATGTTTAAGTGCACGTGGGCGAGCCGAATAGTAGACCTTTCGTAGCATTTCATATTTCGATTACGACAATAAGCTTATTATTAAAACTACGATACGACCGAGCATATTATAAAGTTGCTTTATTGACAACCAAAAAATATGATATAACTCGAGTTATACGTTTATGCCTTTTATTCGTAGTTATATAAATGAATAATATATCACAAGCTCGTACAAAATTACAATTCATTGTGGGTTTTCAACTTTCAAAACGTGCAGATCGTGCGCAACCTAAGAAACCATTGCAATACTATACTAAGTATTTAATACATCAGTCAATAATTTCCAGGACTAGCACAGCGATATCGTCTCTAATATTTATCTCTAGAAAGCATCAAAGTCTCATATCATTTCAATCAGCAGTTTTATTCTCCTCTTCATTCTTCCGTTTCGCTTTGTCTTGAGAACTGTGAGAAATCCAAATATCATGTTTTAATTAAATATCGCTTTACGACTGGAAAAATACCGTTTAATAACAACGTTGTCTTGAAAAGTGTTATGACAAGGTCTCTCTTGCCGATGGTTTATTAAATTTAACCGAATGCGAATGCGAAGGACGTCCACATATGATGTGGTGATGCCAGAAAGTAACAAAAATTCTTCTCAAAAATTATTCTCAATAATTGAAAAGTGATATTACAAGCGATAGATGAATTTTGACAAATCGTTCTATAAAAGATACATGTCCAAGATGTTCAAGAAGCATTCGATCACCTATATTATCCGACGAATACAATCTAATTAAAAAAAAAAAAAAAAACATGCCTTCTTTTACTTAATTCCGGGAATTCTTGATACGCTATATATATATATATGTATATATATATATATATATATAGATATTTTGTATATATATTAATTTTATCATGGTATTAAATGATAGCTAAGAAAATAAATAGTTAGCTGTCTTTTAACCATCCCAATGTCTACAGTTAGCTTCAACCTAATTGCTGTACTTCATCTTATAAGAAAATCCTCAATTTTCGAGAAAGTTTACTACGTTTGATAATCAAGCTGATGAACGTATCGGTAAAGAGTGTTGTTTGATATCCCAATTCTTAAGAACTGTTCTCAACGAAGGTTAGTCGACAAAATACCGAAACCTTACATATAGTTGTCATTGTTGCTTGAAAGTGTCAATGAGTATTTAGCAAAGCTTTCATTTGGAGGGTCGCCACCCAACTAATACGAAAGTCAAAGTAAATTCTACCCTAGGCGGGAACATTCCTCTATTCGCAGCAGTGGGGCAGTGTTTAAATGAGAACGAACACAGCGTCGAAACGACTGTTATAGGAATCGACGAAGTAACGAGGGCACGCTACAAATGATGAACAAGGTACAGAAACTGTGAATTAGAAGGTCGCTAATTGCACTCTAGTCGGCACGGTGGGCATTTAAAAAAGGCTCACTATGTCTCATTTTAACTGAATATACGAAGCTAAAAACATTGTGCGCAAATTGAATACCTCGCCTATTGACTGACAATGGAACCAACAGATCATTAGGGCGTATTCTAATCACGTGTTCGAAAATGCCTCACAGCCATAAGGGTGTATTTTCGCATCAACTCGTCGCCAAGAATCGAGTACATCAGTTTCTACGAGCACATGTGGGATGATTTTCGTTGATTTCTTTCGAAAAAGACACTAGTAGGACAATTATATTGGTCTGTGTCCGAGCACCGTATTAAATGTAAAGCATATATTAGAATTGGACTACCATTGGATGTAGGGGAGCCAAAATTACAAAATTAACTGACTTGACAACAAAAACTGGTTGCTTCTTATTCGAAATCAAGTGTAAATACAGAACTAACCGATTGACAATGCCGATGTGATAAAGAGACCCCTCGAGAAATATCGATGAAAAAGCTCGTCCTTCTTTGGTGCCGTGCCCTGTTGATATACAGGAAGCCAGTGAAATGATGGAAGCGTAATGTTGAAAGCGAAGGGTTAAAATTAATGAAATGATATTAATTTGTAACAACAGTACAGAACAGGATACATTAATTAAGGAAGATTAAATGGATGGATTAATTTTAAAGAATAAAATACGATTGTGAAGATCAATTCAGATAAGAATCAGAATTATTGTTGCGGATTGAGGAGAGAAGAGATGTTAATTAATGTTGAGATTTTTAAAAACTTAGCAAAGGTTTGGGTTTTGTATGAGAGAAAAGGACTTATTTCAAGGAAATGATAAAATGCCATTAATACAAAGCATTATTCATTACTCTTCACACATTTTTCCCATCTCTCCGAAAAAGTATGATTTAGTGGCGAAAGAACGTTTCGCCTTTTGGAACTGTTTATAAGATGACTGTTTTTGGAAATCGTCACGAGAATAGAAACGTTGTCCAAATTCACATTAA